GTTTATACATCTCACCAGAGGTGGTGGGATCAAACGAAGGTTGGATGTTTGGAGAACGAGAATCAGCGTAACCGGGGTATTTGTAGGACGAAGAATGAAAAAATGCATTATTCAGTTTTTCAATATCGATAGAGGGACTGGAAATCACTTTCTTTTGGCTGCAGAGAAGATTAATTCCACGCCACATAGATTTACAGTTCCTCGTCCCAAAAACTGGCTTTCATAAAGGGCGTCTAACCGTCTTATTTTATTCTTGATCAGGAACAATAATCGTTGCATTGCGGCCCTCCTGCCACATTTGAATGCGCGTTGCTTCTCACGTTGTGAAATTTCTTCGGCTCCTTCTCGATCTATGAATAGTTACACTTCAAAAGTGTGAAAAATCCGACCAGGTGACAAATCCCATTCTCCGAGGTGTTTTACGTAATATGCCGATTCACTGCACTAATTGCATTATTGAAGGCATCTGACTCGACTACAACTGGTAGGTTTAGATTGAAATGCGTAGCGTATTCGAAACCAGTGTTCGTTTTAGGTAGTCAGGTGATTCTACAGCCACTTTGTACTTTTCTTCAGAAAAGAGTTCATGCTTTGCCGGAATCGGTTCCTGTTCCGTATGAATGACTGTCAGCAACGACTGCGTCGCAGTCGCTCGGATAGGGCTACTGATAATGTCGGTGATGAAGCTCTAAGTATCAGACTGAAGGCATGGAAAAAATGCATTAGTTCACGCTCAGGCAAAATCCGAATTCTTGCGGTTGCTTGATCACAGACAACAGGTTTTCCAAACGATCAACTGGATTGGATCCAGTGACGATGATGATCCAAGTAGGTTGCAGTTCTCTCATTTCTAATTAGCTTGGTATCCATTGGTTAGTGAAAGATCGTTGGAGCAGAATTCACACCGAATGGAGGACGAGTAAAGTGGAAAACCACCAGTTTTTGTTGTAATGAGGAAGTGCCCGATATTCCTCCCTGCAAAAATGCGCCCGATAGGTCCAATCATGAAATACACAGTCCACCACTTGGCCTTGCAACCAGGCCCTTCGGTTTTGGTTCCGGGTATCTCCAAAGCAGCCTGGAATTCTGTTTTGAAGTCACCTCAACCGCGTACCATTTGATGAGCTGCCATGCTCCAGATGGTTGAAATCGAAAAAGTAAAGTCGTTCATTGTTAAGAGAATGGAATCATTCTGTGATCTATCGAGTTTGAGGAAGAATAGAACAGCTTCTCAATGCTTTTTCGTTGACTTTCACACCAAGCTCTTGACACTTGCTGAATTTTTAGCTGCGCTGTACGTTGAGTCCTCCTTGAGGACTAGACCAGACTTAGGGACCTTGACCTGATACGATAGCTGAAACCAGCTCCAAATCATGTCGTTGATAGGCGGGGCTACTGCGCTGCTGTCTCCGCAAATTTTAAATTCGTTTCCGTCTATCACCGGAGTGTCGTATTTCTTACCGACGCTGTTGTCTGTGTCAGACAGACAGCTCTGCAACAAGACGTCGACTCATATCCCTGATAATTTTGATCATTAGAACAACTTTCAACACAACAGTTTGCTCTTTACCAGATCAAAAGGACAGTGGTGTAACTCACAAATCTGGGGGGTAAATCAAAAACCTACCAATGTGTGTGGGTGGGGGGGGTGTAAACATAATCATCCAAATTGCATGCTAATATCAAAGAAAGAAGGAACTGTATTTTGATGGTTGAAAATGATAAACAGTAATAAAATGAGATTGCCAAGTAATAAGATATTGCCACTTGGATACAACTTGTTCAGGCTGCATAGACTATTAGCAGTCTGTGCTATAGCATATCGCAGTTCTTTCCCGGATGTCAATTACATTAAATTCTACGCTCTACGATAACGGGTATCGGTACATGACTGTTGAGTAACAGAAAAGAAAGTAAGAAGATAAAACGACGATGCTAAAATCCGAAACAGATTGGATCCTGAAATCATTTGTGTGATATAACACAATAGAAAGAGAGCTAACTTGAGAATAAATGAAAATAACAGAGCAGAAAGAAAATATTCTGACCTCTTTAAATCAGAAAACGATTGGAAGCCCATCTGCCACACATAGCGGAAACAGTACCAAAAGAGTAACTTAGTATCTGATAGGGCTGCATGGCTTGGTGGAATGTTATTCCCATTTTCGCCTTTTCATTTGCATGCTCGCATGTTCTCTGATACACACACGTGCAGTAACCACGCCGCGTAGAGCTCGTAAGAAAAGCAAGAAAAACGAACAATCACCAACTACCTCGCCGAACCAGACAACCGCTGCTGGAGATTCAAGCCCAGCGAACGGACACGAGCAGAACGGTCGGGCACGATCACGGTCACGTGGTCGGAAAATTTTGGACGCTGCCGTGGCTCGTATCTCGTTCGGTCGTGCGCGTTCCAAGTCCGTCAGTAAAGCAAATCTACGAGACATTGAGATCAGCGGCCCGATATGTGGAACTCGAATCACTTCGCAGGTGTTTGGAACAAGCACCTTCCTCAACTCATATCCGGAATCGGGCATGGGCGGTGCTAATTCCGGTGCTACGGATCAGCAAGCAAACGAACAGTCTCGCCTTCCGTCCGGATCGGTTCCCTTGGGCCCCGAAGAACGTGCACATTTGCTCTCTACACCCCAGAGTTGGGAAGACATGTCTGTGAGTGTGGTCTTATACTACTACTACTACTGATTCAGTTAAAGTACAGCCCAGAATTTCTGTAAATTAAAGGAAACATGAACAATAACTATTTTTCTCTTGTTGTATAGCTAGTGCATTTTTCCTAAATTCCGATTTAGATGAATCAAGGAACACAAAGCGACCATCAATTTCCCATATACTCAATCCCCTTTCTACCCGCCTTAAATAGGTTATGATGTTATACAAATATAACCATAAAGTAAATCCTCACAATTACCGTAGGCCAAATGGCAATGGTTTATTCCTCCACAGTTGTTATTTGGAGTTCAGAAAACAAAGAACGAAGATGAATAAGCTTTGTAATACCCCCCCCCCCCCCCCCAGACCGGTTTATCAGTTCCCTCAACTCCAAATATCTTCTGTAATGAAGCAACCTGACCTAACTTGATTGTGTAAATGTCCATATAACGTAGTCTTCCGGTAACGTTTAAACCAACTCAATGTTTCTGAAAGACACCCATC